TGTAGTGTCGTCTGGGTACATGGACCTCAGAACCATGTAGTGTCGTCTGGGTACATGGACCTCAGAACCATGTAGTGTCGTCTGGGTACATGGACCTCAGAACCATGTAGTGTCGTCTGGGTACATGGACCTCAGAACCATGTAGTGTCGTCTGGGTACATGGACCTCAGAACCATGTAGTGTCGTCTGGGTACATGGACCTCAGAACCATATAATATTTAGCCCCGGGACTACCCCAGGGTTCTGCAGTTTCACTGGGGCTCTTTAATAGTGTATACAAGCAAGATTGTAGAACTTGGAGCACCAGGTGTTGGAAGAATATTGACATTTGGGCAGAGGCCGACCGACACGAAAATGGGTACAGGATATAAGTGACTCCTTGAGTGTGAAAGTTCATGAAGCGGGAGAACTGGCAAGAGACCGAGTTTCTTACAGGCAGACTGTGATGAGAGCGACGTTCTGCAAAGGACCTACTACATGATGATAATGTTCTGGCATTTAGGCAAGGAAATGATAGACAACGGGTAGCCCAAGAGCTGCAGGCAACTGTAGACAAATTGACTGACTGGTGTGCAAAACTACGGACTGTCATCAACTCAGAAATGGCGGCTGTTTTGTGGTGCTCTCTGGACAATAGAATTGTAAGAGCTGATGTTACAAGCCTCATAGTTAATAACAATAACATCAATAGAGAAAACAAACTGAGGTACCTGGGTATAACTTTCGATAGAAGCCTGTCCTACTGGGATCACGTGGAGGCAGTTGTGGTAAAATGCCCACACAAAAGAAAAAACTTAGCGCTTTCAAGATTATGGCAGCAAAGAATGCAATGTTCCAGCACGTGATCCTGTCGGTGATAGATTATGGACTTGGAATGCTTACCATATCAAAGAGTCAGCTGATAAAACTCAATGAAACCATGTGGGTAATTATGGGGTGTGCAAGAGATACTCCTTATTAGTCGTCTTTTACGACACGTTGATCATGGGGTAGTGGGTCTGTTCTCTTCCCCCCCCCCCCTCACCACAATGGAGCTTTGGAAGCACAGCTGGGAGACACCAGGTGATCGTCACCGGCTGAAGAGAATGGTGCCTCATAAAGGGACCAGGGGAGGGGGGGGGGATTAGACGACACTCACAATGAAGGGATGGGCAAGAGTCACATACAGTGACATGGTTACTGGTACCATCCGAATGAAAATTCAGCACTGGCTGCTGAAGGTGGCGATAGAGCGCTTACGAGACTTTCCCGATTGCTATGATGTCGGTTTTTAACTCAACTCAGCTGGAACTGTCTGTGTAGAAAAGTCATAGATGTTCTAGAGGAAATAGGTAGGTATTCTAGAGGAATAAGGTAGGTGTTCTAGCGGAATTAGGACACATTAAAGAGAAGCACAGTGGTGTTGAAATAATGTAACCAATATGTTGATCGACATGTGGTTAATAAGCAAGGATAATTCATGGCTGGGAGCTGTTGTGGAGTAGTAGTTTGCACAGTTTTCTGCCAGGATAGCGGTTTGGACTTTAAACTTGTGCTGGCTGCTTGAGTCTGTTTCACAAGTTACGCCCAGCTTTAAAAATCAGTAACCGAATAACCGTCGGGCGTCAGTTGTTGACATCTGGCATGCAGTCTGTTAACAGTTATGTCCTTGTAAGCAGTGGTCTTAGAGCTTTAACAAAAATGTCCTTGTAAGCAGTGGTCTTAAAGTTTAAACAAACATATCCTTGTAAGCAGTGGTCTTAAAGTTTAAACAAACATATCCTTGTAAGCAGTGGTCTTAAAGTTTAAACAAACATATCCTTGTAAGCAGTGGTCTTAAAGTTTAAACAAACATATCCTTGTAAGCAGTGGTCTTAAAGTTTAAACAAACATATCCTTGTAAGCAGTGGTCTTAAAGTTTAAACAATCATGTCCTTGTAAGCAGTGGTCTTAAAGTTTAAACAAACATGTCATTGTAAGCAGTGGTCTTAAAGTTTAAACAAACATGTCATTGCAAGCAGTGGTCTTAAGGTTTAAACAAACATGTCATTGCAAGCAGTGGTCTTAAGGTTTAAACAAACATGTCATTGCAAGCAGTGGTCTTAAAGTTTAAACGTTCATGTCCTTGCAAGCAGTGGTCTTAAAGTTTAAACAAACATGTCATTGTAAGCAGTGGTCTTAAGGTTTAAACAAACATGTCATTGTAAGCAGTGGTCTTAAAGTTTGAACAAACATATCCTTGTAAGCAGTGGTCTTAAAGTTTGAACAAACATATCCTTGTAAGCAGTGGTCTTAAAGTTTGAACAAACATATCATTGTAAGCAGTGGTCTTAAAGTTTAAACAAACATATCCTTGTAAGCAGTGGTCTTAAAGTTTGAACAAACATATCCTTGTAAGCAGTGGTCTTAAAGTTTAAACAATCATGTCCTTGTAAGCAGTGGTCTTAAAGTGTGAACAAACATATCCTTGTAAGCAGTGGTCTTAAAGTTTGAACAAACATATCATTGTAAGCAGTGGTCTTAAAGTTTAAACAAACATATCCTTGTAAGCAGTGGTCTTAAAGTTTGAACAAACATATCCTTGTAAGCAGTGGTCTTAAAGTTTGAACAAACATATCCTTGTAAGCAGTGGTCTTAAAGTTTTAGCAACCTTGATTATGGAGACAGCATACAGTGTTAGATAACTGAATATATAGTTGGGAATTACTTGTCTGAATAGGCTAGATAGGTAATTGTGTGCCTAAATAGATAAGTTAGGTAAATATAGCTGAACTAGATAGGCAACTGGGCAGGAAGATAAGTAATCAGAGAGTGCGGGGATTAGATAGTTAGTTTTTTGGGCTATCTTCCGAATAACGGTCCTAAATTATTGAGGCGGAAAATATATCCTAGCAGGGCCTCAGTCACGTGTCAATGGCTCACTTCCGTCGTCTTAAATTGCGCGCTTTCGGCGACTTCCGCCACCGCCGAGAGTCTCCCCCATTCCGCTCACGCGGTGTGGATTGGGGTTAAACTAGATGGCTGGGACTCACGAGCAGCAGCTGCCGCATCTCCTCAGCTTTCTTCATTTTATTTGCTCGTGAGTCCTAGCCATCTAGTTTAGCCCCAATCCACGCCGGGGGATACTCTCGGCGGTGGCGGAAGCTAGTAATTCGGCGATGGCGTTATAGTCCTCGAAAGTGCGCAATAGACACGTGACTGAGGCCCTCTTAGGGTATATTTTTTAGCTCCTTAATTTAGAACCGTTATTCAAGGGAAACCGATTTTTGGCATAGGTCTCAGGACCATTGCAGGGAACAACAGACCAGACTTCCTGTTCTCCCCCCCCCCCCACCCTTCCCATCCCCCAGGCAGCGTGTGGTTAACGTCTTAAAACTCAGCTTGGTAAGGTTGTTTCCTTCTGCATATCCATAAACTAGATCCGTATGAACAGATGTGTGCAAAACTAAAGTTCTAGAACAAGACAAACGTTCAAAAATGGACGATGGGCTGGAACTTTCAGCTGAGGGTTTCAGCCGATGATCGCCAAGAAGAAGAAGACCGGCAACAGTTTGTTAATTTAAAATAGAGGCACATAGGGCTGCGTGGTCTCGGGGTCTGGTGTCCACCTCGTGTGCTAGAGGTTCCGGGTTCAATTCCCGGCAAGGGCTGGCAATTTTTTTCCCACGTGCACTTAAAGACTTCTAGTAATTCCCCCTGGTCTCTGGGTAGTTTGATCGGACGCCCGTGTGCATTGTTGCGCTCGTAACAAAATCCCTTGGCAGGTGGAAATCAAAAAGAGTAGCCTGACGGGCAAACATGTTTATTTAAAAATCTACCTAAAGTATTTCAGGATCCTCGCCGGTGCTACAGGACTAGTGCACTGTGCCGAGCTTCTTCGGACTGAGACTTGAGTTATAAGAAGAACGGAGCACTTATGGGTTACTACCCGTTTGTCATGATATTGATTCGTTGTAGGAAACCTAGAAAACCTCAAATGGAGGCTGCACTTGAGCGATTTATTTGAATCGCCCGTTGGTGTAAATCTTCATTGTGGAGAGTCCAATTTGAAGAGACACTCACCCGTCCTCTGTATTATTGGAGCTAGTACTCAGCCACCATCTCAAGATTACTCATTGATCCACCGCCAGACGTGTTGCCCTTCTGTCTCATGTTTCATGTTATCGTCAGCTTATTTTTGTCTCTGCGTGAGTAATCCACGGGCCGACTTGTTTGCACGTGCGGATGTCAGGTTTCCCCCCTCCCCCTAGTATAGCTTCATAATCATAACCATCATCGCCATGCAGTACACATCACATAAGTTGTCATAGTATATTCAACCATTGCGGTCTGTTTTATGCACGTCCATCTTTAGACTATAAATAGTCCGTACAACTAATCACGTGACATTTTGGCAGGGAGTCCATCGAAAAGTGGTTAGTGGAAGCCGTTTCCAGGTCTTGCATTGTGTGACATTTTAATGTGCTTAGAAAGTTATGTTGTGGGTGTATTCGTATTACAAATCGACAAGCGGATATTGGGAAGTGGATATACAAGATTTTCAAACTTTGCTGTTAGATTACATCAATTTAAATTCAAATTCACGGGAGACAGTCATGTTGTGATGTGTATTTCTTTGCACTCCTATTTCTCGACTACCTCCTAGTGTTCCTTGAAGTACATTCTTTGCTATTGAATCACGTCTTACCAATTGCTCTAATTAAGCCAGCTTGCGACGTTTTACAACTGTCATGAGTGTCCTGATATTCTGCAAATTATTGGGCGTGTTGGCAACCGTAAAGTACAACAGACTGGGAGTCCTGGTGAAACTCATTGTTTAATCAGATGTCGTTGTTTACAGATCACGTTTGTTAGCCAGGAAGGTAGATTTTATTTTTGGCTTGTAAGACGATGTGTATTGTTTTCCCTGCTAACTGTGTGTTAGCGAGACCGCGTGTTTGATAATAATTTACTAACAGTAACAGATCCTATAAAATAGCGTAGTTACAGGAAGAATGCCTAAAATACACGTAGTGACAGGATTAGAGTGCGTAAAATAACTTTGGTAACAGAAAGGGGTGTATCAAAAAACCGTAGTTACAGAAAGAATGCCTAAAATAACCGTAGTGACAGGAATAGAGCGCGTAAAATAACTGTAGTAACAGTATAACAGGATGTATAAAATAATTGTGGTAACAGGAAAGTATGTATACAATAACTGCAGTAACAGGAAAGTATGTATACAATAACTGCAGTAACAGGAAAGTATGTATACAATAACTGCAGTAACAGGAAAGTATGTATACAATAACTGCAGTAACAGGAAAGTATGTATACAATTACTGCAGTAACAGGAAAGTATTATACAATAACTGCAGTAACAGGAAAGTATGTATACAATAACTGCAGTAACAGGAAAGTATGTATACAATAACTGCAGTAACAGGAAAGTATGTATACAATAACTGCAGTAACAGGAAAGTATGTATACAATAACTGCAGTAACAGGCAAGTATGTATACAATAACTGCAGTAACAGGAAAGTATGTATACAATAACTGCAGTAACAGGAAAGTATGTATACAAAGACTGCAGTAACAGAAACTGATTTGTGTAAGGAACCCATTGTGTTAGATAACTAGTAACAGGTTTAAAGTTAGTTGCATATCCTTTACAGGACATTGCAGAACCATGGCTTGTGTGGTTTTTCTAGGCAAATTTACGTCCAGTAGTTTGCCGTTGCTTTCTGGAGGTCAGCTTCTACCACTGTCAAAACCAACGCTAGGCTCAAGGCCCGCAGCTGGGATCGAACCCGGCACCCAGCATTACGAAGCGCGTTCGCAACGCCTAGAGACGTCGACAGTAACAGGGATGGAAGTATAAAATAACTGTAGTAACAGGAAGGGATGTAGAAAATAATTATAGGAACTGAAACAAAGTGTATACAATTACTTTATTAACTGTTTCAATGCGTGCAAAACAACTGGTAACAGGAACGGAGCGTGTAAAATACTTATGTGGGTTCCACAGCTCCATTTTGCGGTCCCCGGAGTGTGGTTGGGGAGGGGGTGGGGGTGGGGCGAGAACTCACCACTTCTCACTTCCTTCACACTCCACTCCCTAGATAAACGGCTATAAATTAGGGATATGCTGAAATCGAATAGGTTGCAAAAGGTGCAGGTTTCGCAGCCTAGCTGTGAACCACAACACAGTGGACTAAATGCCCTTTTAACGGCGAATGAAGAAGAGGAGGCACGTAAAATCACTGCAGCAACACTAGGAATGCCTGCAAACATTAACTGTTAACTGGAAAGTGTGTATCATCATCATCATCATCATTATCATCATCATCATCATCGTCATCATCATCATCATCATCATCATCATCATCATCATCATCATCATCATCATCATCATCATCGTCGTCGTCGTCGTCATCATCATCATCAGCATCATCATCATCATCATCGGGTGCCTTGCCGACTGGCGGGGGCGATCATGCATAATCCACGATCTCTTGCAGCATGTATCAGTTCGTGTGCCGACACACCTCCACGCCATGCAGCAAGACTGTCAAGCATCTTCTCTCGTTGTCTTCCTCTATCCCTCCTTCCACAGGTCTTTCCAGTGGCCACAACATGTTCTATTTTCCCTCTCCTCATAACATGGCTGAGAAATGATGTCTGTCTCCTTCTGTCTGCGATAAGTTGTCTTCGGGCTCCCACCTCTTTCAAAACCTCTTGGTTGCTCTTTTTGGCTGTCCAAGGTATTCTGAGCATTCTTCTGTAAAACCACATCTCCGAGGCCTCCAGAATTTGTTTGGCCTGCCTACCGAAAAGTGTGTACAACAAGCAAAAACAACGCGTGTAAAGTGAGTAAGTTGATAAGCAAAAAGTTTTTTTTTTTTTAAATGACGTTAGGTGACAAGTGTTTTTAGCGTCAATGTTTGATCTGTCAAAAGTATCACAGTAACAAGGGAATTTTCCCCAGTCGGACACAAAAGAGAGATGCTATATTGAAGCCCCAACAGCCTCGCATTGATAGCTGCACTCACAAACGGAGACCGAAGAGAATCTCCACACTGCCCAACTGAAAGACCTGTTTGCTCACTTCTGGCTAGACAGTGATTGATTTCTCGGAAGCCTCTTTTATATTTGATTTTAAACCGTATGCAGAACAAAATCTGGCCCCAGATGCGGAAGTTTTAGCTCTTACAGTGCCAGCCTATAATCAGTTTAGCTCTCTCATTCTTGTGAAGTTCTTCTAGTTTGAAGTAGTATGACAAATAAATTGATATGTATCGATTAACACTCATAGAAAAAACTAGGAATACAAGAAGTAGTCATTGTTGGGTTACAAAATACCACAGTAGGACAGTGAATGTAAATTTTTACACCAGCAGCCCATGGGTCCTGAAGTTTTTGACCCGTGTATTTATCTTTTTGAAATAGACTAGTCGGAACTTGATGGATAGCATAAAGCATGGCAATTTCGCAGTATACATTTCAGGTGGTTTCTGCAAGGGAAACCCACACGGTAAAAGAAATAAACGGGAAGGTGTGGGGTGAGAGAGAGAGAGAGAGAGAGAGAGAGAGAGAGAGAGAGAGAGAGAGAGAGAGAGAGAGAGAGAGAAAATCAGCGAGAGAGAGAAAGAGAGAGAGAGACCGTCTTGATTGAAAATTAGATGGAAATCTGTCAGATCTAAACTGACGAATGATCGCATGCATATAGATTTGATTAATCTGTTTTCTTCTTCTTCTTTTTTTTTCTTCGGCACTTTGTTTTGCCTAATCCGCGCCTTTCTGCTTAGCACCTCCGATTTCAGCAAATCAAAAATGAGTTGCCTTTTACGGCATTATTGTTAGGAGGCAGTGAGTGTTATTCCCCCCTCCCCCTCCATCCCATGAGATCCCGGAAGGCCCGGGAAAAGTCCTGTGATCAAGTGTCTTCAGGTTCCTACTTCGTTTCTTTTAACTTGTTAGAATGTCAGTAAAGGCTTATCAGTTGAAATGTTCTCTCAATAACCTGGGTTCCCTGAGACCTTGGTGAATGTTGTCTTCTTCCTTAGTTTTTTTCTTCTGATTTATGAGGTTGTTTAGAAGAGGGCCTGATTTCTTGTGTTGTTTGGCATAGTCTGTCTGATTTATTGTGTTAGCAGAGACAGCAAGTCTGATTTCTTGTGTTGTTTGGCATAGTCTGTCTGATATATTGGGTTAGCAGAGACAGCAAGTCTGATTTCTTGTGTTGTTTGGCATAGTCTGTCTGATTTATTGTGTTAGCAGAGACAGCAAGTCTGATTTCTTGTGTTGTTTGGCATAGTCTGTCTGATATATTGTGTTAGCAGAGACAGCAAGTCTGATTTCTTGTGTTGTTTGGCATAGTCTGTCTGATATATTGTGTTAGCAGAGACAGCAAGTCTGATTTCTTGTGTTGTTTGGCATAGTCTGTCTGATATATTGGGTTAGCAGAGACAGCAAGTCTGATTTCTTGTGTTGTTTGGCATAGTCTGTCTGATATATTGGGTTAGCAGAGACAGCAAGTCTGATTTCTTGTGTTGTTTGGCATAGTCTGTCTGATATATTGGGTTAGCAGAGACAACAAGTCTAATTTCTTGTGTTGTTTGGCATAGTCTGTCTGATATATTGGGTTAGCAGAGACAACAAGTCTGATTTCTTGTGTTGTTTGGCATAGTCTGTCTGATATATTGGGTTAGCAGAGACAGCAAGTCTGATTTCTTGTGTTGTTTGGTATAGTCTGTCTGATATATTGGGTTAGCAGAGACAACAAGTCTGATTTCTTGTGTTGTTTGGCATAGTCTGTCTGATATATTGGGTTAGCAGAGACAGCAAGTCTGATTTCTTGTGTTGTTTGGTATAGTCTGTCTGATATATTGGGTTAGCAAAGACAACAAGTCTGATTTCTTGTGTTGTTTGGTATAGTCTGTCTGATATATTGGCTTAGCAGAGACAACAAGTCTGATTTCTTGTGTTGTTTGGCATAGTCTGTCTGATATATTGGGTTAGCAAAGACAACAAGTCTGATTTCTTGTGTTGTTTGGCATAGTCTGTCTGAAATATTGGGTTAGCAGAGACAGCAAGTCTGATTTCTTGTGTTGTTTGGCATATTCTATCTGATATATTGGGTTAGCAGAGACAACAAGTCTGATTTCTTGTGTTGTTTGGCATATTCTATCTGATATATTGGGTTAGCAAAGACAACAAGTCTGATTTCTTGTGTTGTTTGGCATAGTCTGTCTGATATATTGGGTTAGCAGAGACATTAAGTCTGATTTCTTGTGTTGTTTGGCATAGTCTGTCTGATATATTGGGTTAGCAGAGACAGCAAGTCTGATTTCTTGTGTTGTTTGGCATAGTCTGTCTGATATATTGGGTTAGCAGAGACAACAAGTCTGATTTCTTGTGTTGTTTGGCATAGTCTGTCTGATATATTGGGTTAGCAGAGACAACAAGTCTGATTTCTTGTGTTGTTGGCATAGTCTGTCTGATATATTGGGTTAGCAGAGACAACAAGTCTGATTTCTTGTGTTGTTTGGCATAGTCTGTCTGATATATTGGGTTAGCAGAGACAACAAGTCTGATTTCTTGTGTTGTTGGCATATAGTCTGTCTGATATATTGGGTTAGCAGAGACAGCAAGTCTGATTTCTTGTGTTGTGTTGGCATAGTCTGTCTGATATATTGGGTTAGCAGAGACAACAAGTCTGATTTCTTGTGTTGTTTGGCATAGTCTGTCTGATATATTGGGTTAGCAGAGACAACAAGTCTGATTTCTTGTGTTGTTTGGCATAGTCTGTCTGATATATTGGGTTAGCAGAGACAACAAGTCTGATTTCTTGTGTTGTTTGGCATAGTCTGTCTGATATATTGGGTTAGCAGAGACAGCAAGTCTGATTTCTTGTGTTGTTTGGCATAGTCTGTCTGATATATTGGGTTAGCAGAGACAGCAAGTCTGATTTCTTGTGTTGTTTGGTATAGTCTGTCTGATATATTGGGTTAGCAGAGACAGCAAGTCTGATTTCTTGTGTTGTTTGGCATAGTCTGTCTGATATATTGGGTTAGCAGAGACAGCAAGTCTGATTTCTTGTGTTGTTTGGCATAGTCTGTCTGATATATTGGGTTAGCAGAGACAGCAAGTCTGATTTCTTGTGTTGTTTGGCATAGTCTGTCTGATATATTGGGTTAGCAGAGACAGCAAGTCTGATTTCTTGTGTTGTTTGGCATAGTCTGTCT